CTTTTTTCACTCTGGTATATTATTCAGGTAAACAAAAATGTTTCATATATATAGCTCCCAATTTCTGTAAATATTGAGTTATGTTAATATTTTACGTCAAACTAAACTTGAATTCTGTGTCACACTTTACTACAGTCCCAAGTAATGAAGATATATCCTGAAGAGATTGTTGTAAATTTCCTTTACAACTTGTCTGTTGCCATCTTAACTTTAGGAGTAGGATTAGTAGCAGAACCAAACTTGAGTTCTTGGAAACTATCACCCGGTATAGCAGTTGTTGCTGTCTTATACACGGTAAGAATTTTCTAATTGATTATCAAATTGCAAATTTCTGCAGCAAATATTTATACCATGTAACTTTTTTCACTTTGCTATACTTGTTTAGGGACTTTTTGGGTTCTCCTTTAGCTCTACTGCCCACACATGGGGCGTACGCTTGAAAGGGCCAGTGTTTGTTGCAAGTTTCAGGCCAACTTCAGTTCTCATTTCAGTAATTTTGAGTGCCATCTTCCTCGGTGATGCACTCTATCTTGGAAGGTATATTGAAACTCTTGCTTTTAGATCGATTTCCCTATAACTGGCTAGCTGGTCAATTGCAGCATCAAGCACATATGCTGCATTTTTCTTTCTTGGTACAAGTCTTCTGGTATATGGAAACATTGGGTCGTCCTGACTAATTCAGAGTCAAGCCACGTCGGGAGGAAGCTCTCACCGCACCTATTTTTTACCATTGCATTTTAATTTTTGGTTAATTAGTAATATATAGTATAATATCTGTTATAATCTCATCACATTCAATTGACAAGCCTGTATCAAACTTTGTTTTTGCAGTGTTATTGGAGGAGTAATCGTATCTATAGGTCTCTATGCCGTATTATGGGGGCAGGCAAATGAAGAAAAAATAGAAGATAATGTCTCTGGCTTTAGCAGTTTGGGATCCTTGCCTAGTCACAAGTTCCCTTTGCTACAAAGCCACGAGGTTGAAGAAACTTAGCACATTATTTTTTTTCCGGCTTACTGCTCAAAAAGGCCCCTGAACTTACGCAAAACGGCCAAATAAGCCCTGAACTCTAATTGTAGCCAAATAAGCCCCTGAACTCTTTAAAAAGGCCAAATAAGTCCTTTTCTGATGGCTAAATGCTGAAATAAGGACTAAACGTTTCAAGATTTTCTCAAATAAGGATCAACATACACAATTCCAACAAATTAAAATACATACTTAACAAATTTTTATAAATTAGAGAATTCTTAAATGAAAACAAATGTTTCTCATGCGTACACGTTAAATTTGATAGAAAAATGATATTATCGTGTTAATTAAAAATAAAAAACTATTAATCAAAATAAATTCATTAAACGTAATATGATATAAAATTATCGTACGCTTTTTTCAGTTTATATATATCTCACACACTAGTATTAACTTATATTGTATCAAATTTGTCAAAAAAATATTAATTATGTGTTTTAATTTGTTGTAATTGTGTATTTTGATCCTTATTTGAGAAAATCTTGAAACGTTTAGTCCTTATTTCAGCATTTAGCCATCAGAAAAGGGCTTATTTGGTCTTTTTAAAGAGTTCAGGGGCTTATTTGGCTGCAATTAGAGTTCAGGGGCTTATTTGGCCGTTTTGTGTAAGTTCAGGGGCCTTTTTGAGCAATAAGCCTTTTTTTTCCTTACAAAGATGATGATCATAGCTCATGTGTATACCATATATAATTCAACGCTTCCAGCTTGTTTGCATGCTAAAACATCAAATAATTTTCAAAGCAAATTAAGTTAATGAGGTTCTTGGATCAGAGTTGAGAACATGAATTTGTACTTTTATCAATTGATTTTATGTGAAGCTTAGCTTTTAGCGATTGAGTCGAAATAGACTATGAGTGTAAAATCTGAGCTTGAGATAATGACCCGAGACACAAATAATATGACCCAGCCAACTTGCAAAAAGGACAAATTGGTATCGGATGTGTAAAAGTGGATATACGTGTCAAAATCATCACCCTTAAGCGTTAGGCCTTAAGTAGCTAATTCTCTCTATATAATTAGAATTATTCAATTTTCACAAGAAACTTGCCTTTTCTAAATAAATTGCTTAGTTGGTTTTTAAAAGATCATATGCACCACATGGATTTTTTTCATTTTATTTGGTTCAAATGCACCACATGGCTTTTTCTTTTATGGTACAAGTGCACCACATGGCTCTGATTTTGATTAGGTATAACAAAATATCATTTTTCAAATTCATAGAAATCCCTTAACCCTTCTTTAAAGCTAAAAATATAAGGTAGGGATCAAGAAGGGATATGTAGTATACATTAGTAGCAAGCTAAACTAACTATATACTAATATGTAAGATATTAATAGTCTTTTCATCTGAGAACTTTGGAGAAAACAATTCATGCCCTTTTGAGAATTTCATGCACTATCATAGATATGAGATTTTAAATATTGTTTCATGGCAACCAGGTTTTTGTACAAGGAAGTCCTACCATGCACAGCCATGGTTGCAGTAGAGTGCTCCAATGTAGTTATAAACATTTTATACAAACTTGCTTCTTCAAAGGGAATGAGCTACTACACATTCATTGCCTACTGTTATGTTTTAGCCACCCTTGTTTTCCTCCCTTTAGCCTTTTTCTTTAGTAGGTCTGCTCTCTTACATTTCTCTTATCATCAAATAAAATTAGGTACATATATATGCTTACAATATTTCAAAATTTTGCACTAAATCATTTTCATTTATTTTGATGATGTATATGCAGAAAAACTGTGGTTCCCCCCTTGAAGTTCTCTTTCATCTCGAGAATTTGCCTTCTTGGACTTGTTGGGTAGGTATATTTATATGTAGTAAGAAAGAAAATCAAAACCCCATATGTGATTTGATAAATTGTTCATCTTTTGGAGAGTACAGGTTTTCAGGCCTACTCTGCTCATATAAAGGAATAGAATTTGGCTCTGCAACTCTTGCATCTTCCATCAGCAACCTCTCACCAGCTTTTACCTTCATACTTGCTGTCTTCTTCAGGTTTTCTTCATTCTCCTAGTTTTTCAATCTTCTTCATCAACTTTTACCTTAAATTCACTTTCTCCATGTCTTTGCATGGTGTAACAAAGGATGGAGAAATTATCATCCAAGTGTTCAAGTACTCAAGCTAAAATCATAGGCACAATTGTATCAATATTGGGTGCATTAGTAATTGTTTTCTACAAGGGCCCCGAAGTTCTTTTCTCTCCATCATCATCTATTTTGCTTCAAAGGCCTAGTCTAGGGTCGACTTCTCAATCAAATTGGATCATTGGTGGCCTCCTAGAAGTTATTGCATATTTTCTTTTCTCATTCTGGTATATTCTTCAGGTAAAAAATGTACATTTTCCTATAAGCTCCATGCACATTGAATTCTATATATATGTGTATTTTTTTTATTTTACATATAAAACTAAACTTGAATTTTGTAGCACTTTTACAGTCCCAAATAATGAAGATATACCCAGATGAGATAGTTGTGAATTTCCTTTACAACTTGTGTATTGCCATCATATCTTTAGCAGTAGGCTTAGTAGCCGAAACAAAGTTGAGTTCTTGGAAATTAACACCTAGTATAGCAGTTGTTGCTGTCCTATACTCGGTAAGAATTTAATTAATTATCAATTGCAAGTTTGGAACTCTGCAGCAGTAAAAATTTGCAGTATCTAAATGTAAAATTTGTTCATTTCTATATGTTTTAGGGAATTTTTGGTTTCTCCTTTGGCTCTACTGTCCACACATGGGGTGTTCGCGTGAAGGGGCCCGTTTTTGTTGCCATTTTTAGTCCAACTTCAATTGTTATTTCAGTTTTCATGAGTGCCATATTCCTTGGTGATGCACTTTATCTTGGAAGGTATTATAAGGCTCTTGCTTTTTAGATGTTCCCTAAAACCGGCTGTTTTAATGGCTGAATCATCTCTACTTTTGTAATTTCTGTTATAATCTTCTCAATAAAAAAAAGCCTGAAATACTGATGCTTAACTTAATTTGCAGTGTTATTGGAGCAGTAATCTTATGTATAGGTCTCTACGCCGTATTATGGGGGAAAGCAAAAGAAGAAGAAATTGCAGATGATGACTCTGGTTTAAGCAGTTTGGGACCCTTATCTGCTGATGAGGTCCCTTTGGTGCAAAGGCACAAAGTTGAAGAAATTTAGGTCAAAATGTTATACAACAAATCTGATTCCACATTCATTTGCATGCTAAAACATCAAAGTTGTTTCATTGTCTAGAGATATTTGGAAGCAAATTGGTAGCAATTGCATAATGTGAGTGTGAAACTGCCATTTCTCAACATTCTGATCTGCTTCCCCCATAGTTAATTAAATTTGGCCATTGCTTCTTGTAACAGTCATAAATGCAACTCTGTGATTTAATCTGATACAACTTCTGGTTATGGTGGAGCCGCTTGTTACCTTACTTGCACGCCAAGTTAATTTTGAACCAATCTTATAATCAGCTAAATCCCAAAAATTAATGTATCAGAAATTTAACAGACAAATAAATAAAGGGAAGAAATTATTGGCAGCCTTTTATGATAAATGATTTTGGCAATGTGCAGTTTGAGCAAAACAAGTTTTGGTAGGACTTTGGAGAAAAGCATTTTAGGACCATTCCCTTCATTTTCATATTCCCACATGTTGCATACAGTTTCTATTGTGTGATAATATAACATTCTCAGAATTCAATCATTAGAAGAAAACACTATAAAACAGGGGAATTGAAATTGGAATTGGTAGTAATTAATTGGCTTCCATAAGCCAACCACCAAATTTTTTTATTTTGAAATGCAAACGAAAATGATGATGTTTGTTCAAAGACTTTTTCTTTTGTCAAAAAGGTCTACTTATTTTATTAATAACCATTAAAACCAGTTGATTACAATCACTAATTTCCCTTAGAGCTAGAAAGAAGAAGAGAAAAACACAGTAATCTCAAAACAATCTAGGCCTAAAGAAAACCAAAAGTAGTATCAAACATCTGGAGGGGCAGGGATGATGTCTTTGTTGTAGATATGAAGCAGAGGAAGAGGGGGTTGTAAAACCCATCCATCAGGGCACTCTCCCAGCCTTACAGACTTAGCTACCCAATCAGCAGCAGAGTTTGCTGTTCTACGCACCAAACTGATCTTCATAGTACCAGAGTCACACATCAGCGATCTAATATCCTGAATTATAGTATTAATCTCCCACCTGCACTTCTTAACAGAGGATAAAGCACCCATAAACTTTTCAGAGTCAATTTCCAGAATGGCATTATGAGTATTGGAAGACTTAACCAACTTTACGGCAGCCAGCAAGGCTTTAGCCTCAGTTTCAAGAGCAGAGTTGGCCATAGTGGATTCTGCTAAGCCATCCAGTACTCCGTTATCCCCATTGCAAACCACAACAGCAATACTCGCCTTGCCACCTTCAACAGCAAAAGATCCATCGCAATTAAATTTTAGGAAATGAGGATTTGGGGGAGACCATACCTCAGGAACTCTACTAGCGTTGCACGTTTTCCTTTTGTTGCTAGCACATTCAGTTTTAGTCTTGATAAAGTTCCATATAGCATTTTGACTCCTTTGCACACACTGAAAGGGATCAACAACCCTGTTTTGAAAAACATTTTCACATCTGCATTTCCAGATCACCCACATAGTAAAAGCAATTTTGGTCCCCAGCTGATCAATCTCCTCTCTAGTGCCTTTCATATTACTCACTACAGCAAGAAACCAATCATCCAGGGAAGTTATACTGCCTCTATCCACCTTAAGCCCCAGAACTCCAAACCACACAGTTTCCACCCAAGGACATTGGAGCAAAATGTGCTCCACAGACTGATCCATCTCATGGCAAATGGGGCAGGTTGCATCATGGCCAATCCTTCTTTGCTTCAGGGCCAGTTTGGTCGCCAAACCATTAACACAAGCCCTCCACAGGAAATGTTTAACTCTTGGGGGAGCTTTTACATTCCAGATAAATCTCCAGGCCTTTTTGTCAACAACATGAGAACTCGAGGATGAGTATTGGGGCCGCATTGGAATACTGCTCTTCTTGGTGTAGTACCCTGATTTCACAGTATAAGTTCCATTCTTCTCCTTAGGCCATATAAGCTTATCCTTCATACAAGATCGACTTAAGGGAACTTTATGCACTTCTTCTACTGTGGTCTCAGACACCAAATGCGAAATCTCATCCAACTTCCAAGATCTAGACTCCTTATCAATGATATCAACTACTCTTTGGGGGACAGCAGACTCAATAGGCTGAGTAGTAGTCACTCTGCCCGAGTCACTCAATGGAATCCATCTATCTCTCCAAATGTTTATGTCACAGCCATCACCAACCTGCCAAAGTGCCTGCTCCTTTATGAAATCCTTCCCCTCAATGAGGCTAGCCCACACTCAAGAGGCTCTCCCCCCTTTCTTAGCATAAAAAAAAGAGCAGTTAGGGAAATACACACCTTTAAGCACCCGGGCCCAGAAAGCATGTTTATTTTGAAGAATCCTCCAACTCTGCTTCGCAAGTAAAGACAGATTAAAGATCTCAAAATCTTTAAAACCCATACCACCCTCCTGTTTAGCTCTAGTCAGTTTATCCCAGCTCTGCTAGTGAATCTTCCCTTCTTTTTTCAGTTGGCCCCACCAAAACTTGGCTATAGCAGAATTAATTTCAGTACAAAAACTCTTTGGGCACTTGAATATGGCCATCATATAGGTAGGCATGGCACTTATAACAGCTTTAATCAGGATCTCACGGCCTCCTTGTGACAGAAGTTTCTGTTTCCATCCCTGGAGCCTGTTGAGAATTCTATCTCTCATTACTACCATCACTTCCCTTCTAGTTTTCCCCCATAGAGAAGGTATGCCAAGATAGGTTCCAGGATTATCAGCTTTAATGATCCCCAACCAGTTTGCAACATCAGCTTTAACCTGATCAGTAGCTTTAAAGCTAAAAATAACACTGGACTTGGAAAAATTAACCTTCTGACCAGAGGCATTACCATAAGATTCAATAATATCTGCCATTTTCCTGCAGCTCCCCCCCTCTGCTTCCAAGAAGAATAAGGAATCATCCGCAAAGAGAATGTGGGTGAGAACATGGCATTCTCTACTCAATTTGATTCCCCTGAGTTCTTTGTTATCAGCAACAACTTGAACCATCCGAGACAGGGCATCTGCAACAAAGAGAAAGAGATAAGGGGACAAGGGGTACCCTTGTCTAAGCCCACGGGAGGGTTGGATAACATCATAAGGCTTTCCATTGATTATCAATCTATAGCTGACAGTGCTCACACATTGCATAATCCAATTCACCCACTGATTGCAGAATCCTAATTTCTTCATGACAGCTTCAAGGAAATCCCATTCTACACGGTCGTAGGCCTTATTCATATATAATTTTAAGGCCAGGACACTCTTTTTCTCTTTATTCTTTAGCTTAATATAATGGAAGACCTCTTGAGCTATTAGAATATTATCATGTATCTGCCTTTCAGCTACAAAGGCGTTTTGATTCTCAGTAATCAAATTAGGGAGCCATTCCTTGAGTCTATTGACAAGAACTCTAGATATAACTTTATAAGCATAGTTGCACAAGCTGATGGGTCGATACTGAGTCACCTCAACAGGGCTATTGACTTTGGGAATAAGTACAATACAAGTACTGTTGAGTTCCCTTAGCATGAATCCCCCATTAAAAAACCCCAAAGTTGCTTTGGTTACTGTCTCCCCTACAATATCCCAGAATTCTTGAAAGAAGATCCCATTGAAACCATCCGGCCCCGGGGCTTTATGAGCTCCAAGTTGAAAAGCAGCTTCCCTTATCTCTTCACTTCCAAAAGGCTTAGTAAGACTTTGATTCATATCCTCCATCACAAGAGTAGGAATATGGTCAAGGACGGTACCCAGTCTCCCTCCCCTTCAGATGTAAATAGGGATCTATAGTAGTCACTAAATCTTTTTGCCACATCCTTTTCAGATTCAATCCAGATCCCATCATCCCCCTTAATTCTAAGGATCTTGTTTTTCTGTCTTCTCTGCATAGTGGTGTGGTGGAAAAAGGAAGTATTCTGGTCCCGATACAGGGTCCATTTGATCCTTGACCTAGCAAAACAATACTTCTCCTCTCTGTCCCACGCTTCTTTAAGCTTCATCATAGTCTCCTGTACAGCCAGAACATCTTGTTCCTCAACCTTTTGATTCTGCAAGTGAACCAACTCAGTCATAAGCTCATCAATCACTTTTCTATTATTCGGGAAAGCTTTTTTGCTCCAAGCAATAAGCTCATTCTTACTCTTCTTCAGTTTATTGACTAATTGATAGCACCCAGAACCTTCAAAAGGAACAGACCAGCCTCTCTTAACCACATCTTCACAATCAGGGCTTTCTAACCACATGGCTTCAAACTTGAAAGACCTCATCGCTTTTTCCTCACTATAGCACGTGTCAAGTAGAATAGGAGAATGGTCGGATCCTACTGCTGGGAGATTAAAAGCTTGTGCATACTGATTTCTTTCAAGCCAGTTAGGAGTGACAAAAAACATGTCCAGTCTCTCATTGATGTTCCCCCCTCACTTCTATAGAACCATGCATACTGTTGGCCCTTAAAGCCCATATCAATGAAGTTGCAGCCATGGACAAAGTCCTTAAAACAATCAATCTTCCTCTTCGCTTTTAGGTTACCTCCACTCTTTTCTTCTTGACATAAAATATCATTGAAATCTCCACAGCAAACAATTGGAAGCTCCCCAATGTGCACAATGTCAGTAATGCGCTCATATAATCTCCGTCTCTCATCAAAATCAACTGGAGCATAGACTCAAATGGCCTTAAAGAGATCACCATCCTTCCCATCTCGAATAAGAGAGACAATATAATTACTGCAGTTTCCTGTAACTGTTAACTCAATATCATCATTCCACCAAAGAGATAAACCTCCACTCTTCCCCACAGGTTCCACATACTTAGCATTATTATAACCCAACTTTCTCCTCAAAACTTCCAGCTTCTCACTCTTATTTTTAGTTTCTGATAAGAAAATTATAGTAGGACCTATTTTAGATACCAACTGTTTAAGCACATTCATAGTCAGGGCAGGTCCTATACCCTGATAGTTCCACACCAGGCCTATCATGGTTGCTGAGTGGCTGTTATAGGACAGCCACTACAACCATCAGCAATACTATCAACTTGCATGATAGGAACTTCTTTTAAGTCAGAGTCCTTCCATTTCAGCATCCTCTATCTACCACTCTTCCCACAGACTTGCCCTTCCTCCTACGCCCAACACAAGGGGGTGGGATGCAAGGGGAAGTTATTTCTGTCTGGCCAGCAACTTCTAACAGAAGAGGAGTAAATCTTCCTCGTTTAATGTCTCCTCCCCACCCTTCCTCATCATAGGCTGATATCTTGAGATTTAGACATCTGAAGACATTTGAAAGATTCAGCACTGTTCTGATAACTCTTGATGGGGATAGAGTACTGCCCCTTCTTGATATAAACTGTGTACTGCCTGGCGCCCTGTATACCTCATTATAGCTTGCCCTGCTAGCCTCTGGCAAATCATCACTATCCATTTCAACATGGTAATCACTTTCTGGGAAAGGTAACTCTGGCACACCAGCAGATTCAAGATCTGCACCATCTTCAATCTCAGTAATGATAGGACCAGAAAAGGCCTGGTTATGGGTTTCCCTATTAGCAGGTATAGTAGGTTCATTGTGGACTTGCCATTCCTGTACAGCTGACCCAACAACACTAGGCCCACTACTCTCAGCCCTTAGAGAAATAGGACCGACAATATTTTCAGCAGTAGCATGTTCAATACTAGTAAAGAAAATTTCACCAATGTCTTTAAATATAATTTCCTTACCTTTCTGTTGACTTGGCATGGGCCTCCCCGAATGATCCTCACGTGGGTTTTGAGTGAGACCCTCCTGATTCGCTGAAACGCCCCCCACCTTTTCGCTGACCGTTTCCTGATTATTCTCCAGCAGAATCTCACCCCTATTCCCAGCTTCACGCGCCTTATCAAAGTTAAGCGCACGCGCCACCCTTGGGATCTCTACGCCACCTTGGATTCTATCTGATCGTCCACCCCATGAATTGCTTCTTTGTCTCCCCGGGGAAAGCAACTTCCTGGCCGGCGGTGCCCTTAAGTTGGGCCCATAACGGCTATCGGGGTTCTCTGGCTGCTTACAGAAACGATTACTATGGCCAAGCATACCACAGTTGAAACACAGATCCGACAGCTTCTCATATTTAACTTCCGCCCAAAGTCGGCGACCACTATCTCTAGGAACCCAGAAACCAGGGACTAGAGGTTCTTTTTCCTTAACCCCACTCTCAGCCGGAGAAAGCTTCGATTACACCCAAAACGGACTCTCGGCTCTTCAATCTCCAAAATAGTGCCAATACTTACCCCAATTCTTCTAGCATTAGCAACCGAAAACATTTCTCTGGGGATATTATGGATCTGGACCCAATAAACAACCTCAGACATGTCCACCTCCGAAGCAGAGAGCTCCGGTGGCCAGACTTTAATATTAAAACAGTAACCCATGATAGACCAAGGATTTTCTCCGATCGCCTCTTCCATTTCACGTTGTGATGTAAAGGTCAAGCTATAAACATTGGTAGCTACATCGCCAATCAACGGAACTGTTCTTTCCGGCCAGATGTTGCGGATAATTGACTTCACCGTACCACGATTGAGGGATTTCTCCGCAATAACTTTTCCAATAGCCATAAATCTATGAGCAGCGTCCTTAGACGGTGGCTTCGCCACCAGATCCAATGTTAACTCCTCCATCGAAAACAGAAAACACCAAGAAAAGCAAAAAAAGAAAGAAAGGGCAGAGCAAAGAGGAAAAGAAGGCGGAAAAGAGAGAGAAAAAAACGAATAAAGCCCTATCAGAAGGGCAGATCTCTTACTGGAAAAGGAAACGCTCTCAAGATGAGAGAGAGAGTGTATTAATATTTGATTCAATCAAAGACTTTAAACTCTACAGTTTTTACAAATTTTTTTTTTAAAAATTATTTTCTTGCTGAAATGATTAAATTGGTTCAATTAGAGTGCTTTTGCATTACCCTTCAGCAATGTGGGGCTAAAGGGAGAGTAAGAAGGGCCTCAACAATGATGGATTTTGTGATCTTTCTCCACAATTATTGTATTTATTTATGTTCAAAGATATTAATCACTTTTATTTTTAAATTAAATTATTTTTTCAACAGAAAGATCACACATGGTTTTGAAACATGATTTAATTAAATGATTTTACATAATCATATGCATTGAATTCTATTAGTAGGAGTACTATATATTTACGAAGTTTTCAATGTAAAAGTGAACCTTAAAAATTTCCAAAATGTGATTAGTAATCCATGAGAGTAGATCTGAAAGCAAAAAAAAAAAAAAGACCACTGGGTGTTGACTCTCTGTCTAAGTAAATGAACTCACATATGGAAAGGAAGTGGCCAAGGCCCATGGCCAACAACTTAGGACATTAATCTTTAAGAGTCACATGGAATAATGTCCAACCACCAAGTTTTTATTTAAATTGCAAATTGATGATTTTTTTTTGCTACAAATTGCAAATTGATGATGTTGTTCAAATACTGCACCTTACATCTCTAAACTCTTTCGTCCATTCTTACAGAAATGGCGACAAGATATTTGTACAAGGAAGTCTTGCCATGCGCAGCCATGGTTACAGTGGAGAGCACAAATGTCATTCAAAATATTCTATTCAAAGCTGCTTCTTCAAAGGGTTTAACCTACTATATCTTCATTGCCTATGCTTATTCTTTGGCCTCCATTACTGTCCTCCCTTTAACCTTCTTCTTGATCAGGTCTTTTCGTCTCTTTTTATTTTTCTTTCTCTCTATAATCATTAAAACTTAGTTCTAAAATTCTTCCCCTGTTTTTTTTTGGTGTGTGAAATTGCAGGAAAGCAGGGCTTCCCCCATTTAATTTCTCTCTCATTTCTAAACTCTGCCTTCTCTGTCTTGTTGGGTATGGACAAGGAAATTTGTTTATTGTTTAATTCACATTTTATGCAATTTTTTCCTAATGCATTGACTTTATTTATCTTCTTGGAGACAGGTTTTCGTGTCAAATATGTGTATACAAAGGATTAGAACTTGGGTCCCCAACTCTTTCTTCTGCCATTAGCAACCTTATACCCGCTTTTACCTTCATTCTTGCTGTCTTCTTCAGGTTCCTTCTTTCTTCTCCTAATTGGTTACTGTTTTTTGTTGATAAAATTGGTTTCTGTTGATTTTGTGATTATGAATTTTCTATTAGCAACCTTATGATCCCTTCTGTCTTGAACACATTAATGTGGCATTTATTTGGAAACAATTCATAATGGGGAAACAGAAACTGAAAACTGTGCATTTTTACTGAAAAAGAGAAGGCTGAAAACAAGGATTTAGGTGGGGGAGGGCGGGTAGGTGGCCAGGCCATGATATGGGTCAAAGTAAACATCAAGTCCCTGTATTATATGAATAAATTCAATTTAGTCTATGTACTTTAATTTCGATCAATTTAGTCTATTATTAAAAACCAAGCAATTAAGTCCTTCTATGATCAATTTATGCCATTAGAATTATTGCTGTAGCCTGTAGGATCAATTTCTTCCTTAATTTGCCCATTAGTTAAGCCAATTTTACAAGGGTTTCTCTTCAAATTGACTAAATTAGAAGGATATCATTTCACATATTGTTTAACCTCAAATTGAGCAATTAGTCTCCACAATGTAACTTTTTTATATTTAGCCCAAGCTAATGCTTTTCGTCACTTTTCTCTTTCCCCTTCTATAATCAATCAGGATTGAAAAACTAGCATTGGGAAGCTCAATCACTCAAGCTAAAATCATTGGTACAATAGCATCAATATTAGGTGCATCAGTAGTTGTTTTTTACAAAGGCCCTGAACTTCTTTCTTCTCCACATCCGACTTTATCTTCATCATCTGAATTACTTCAGCAACCTCTCGAATCATCCCATTCAAATTGGATGCTTGGTGGGCTCTTACTAGTTATTGGATATCTTTTTTCTTCATTATGGTACATTATACAGGTAAAACTAACTTATCCTCCTCAAATCTCTGCTTCTCATACACTTGTACCTCCTTCACAGTTTTGTGAAATGATCAATTTGCCCCCCCTAGGTAAATAGTAAGAGGAGGTGGGTGTAAGACGAGTATATGAAGATGTACATGTATATCAGGGTGCTAAATATATATGTTTTCCGGATTAGAAAAATTAAACTGAACTTGAAATTAATTTATAACATTTTGCAGGCTCAAATTATGAAGATATACCCGGAAGAGACAACTGTAACTTTCATTTACAACTTGGCTTTGGCCATTTTATCTATACCGGTATGCTTATTAGAAGATTCAACCATGAGTTCATGGAGACTAAGACCTAATATTGTATTGGTTTCTATCCTTTACTCGGTAAGAAATTAGCATATGATCATATCAATTACAATTGTAAAGCAGATAATTTCCAAAATCTAGGTTTTTTTTTCTTAATTCTTAATTCTTGTTTTGACTTGGATTGGTTTAGGGTGTGTTTGCATTATCCTTCAGCAGTGTTGTGCACACATGGGGCGTAAAATTGAAAGGGCCAGTCTATGTTGCGATATTTAGGCCATTGTCAATTGTGATTTCAGCCATTATGAGTGCTATATTCCTTGGTGAAGCATTGTATCTTGGAAGGTATAATTCAAAAATAATATTTGTTTCAATTTTTTTTCTTTATACCTCCAATTTTTAAGTATTTTGACAGTTTTTGGAATAATTTGGAGATTAAATTTAACATTTTGCCATCATTTCTACGCATCATTCCTTCTATGAAAACTCATGGTTTGAAAAACTTGATTGAATCTTCTTAATTAATGTTGCAGTGTCATTGGAGCTGTGATCTTATCAGCTGGGCTTTATGCTGTGTTATGGGGAAAATCCAAAGAAGACGGCCTAACATATTATAATGACTACTCTGCCTCAAATGGCTCTTCGTCAAGCTGTAAAGCCCCATTGTTGCCAAGCCACAAGGATGAAGATGAAATTTAGCTCAAAAGTTTTTACACTTAGACATATTTCTTCGGCTTAATAGATGTTTTGGCGGTTGAACTTGTAAGAAAGAGACAAATCAGCCCTTGAGCTTCGAAAATTGCCAATTGCATACCTAAATTTGTTAAAAGGGAACATATTAGCCCTTTACATGAAAATTGGTTGAATTTCGTTAACATTGGATGTAGATTAGCCATTTTTGGACATATTGGTATGGCTTCGAAAAATTTCATCCAATTTCCGTCCAATTGTTAACGTAATTTAACCAATTTCTCCAAAATGACTAATTTGTTCCTTACTTCATTTTTTACATCATGTGTGTGTAATTGGCAATTTTGGAAGTTGAAGGGCTAACTTATCCATTTCTTACAGGTAATGGGCCAAAACGTCTATTTAGCGTATTTCTTCTAATGCTAAAAAATATAAAGAATTTACTCAAATGCTTGGAATTATAACAACCAGAACCAATTTTAATTTATTCAATTTAATTCTTGAAACAAGAGTTGAGAATTGTATATGACATTTTTTTCATGATATTTGGTCCTTGCGAACTTGTAAGAAATGGATAAATTAACACTTGAATTTCCGAAATTGCCAATTACACATATGAACTTATAAAAAATGGACAAATTAACCTTTTGGGACAAAAATTAGTTAAATTCCTTTAACAATTGGACGTAAATTGTTCGAAATATATTAGAACCATACAAATTTAAAATTTCTGTCCAAAATGGCTAATTTCTGTCCTATTATTAATGGAATTTAATCAAATTTTGTCCAAAAGGACTAATTTATCCCTTTTTATAAGTTCGGGTGTGTAATTGACAATTTTTTAAGTTTAAGGGATAATTTTCCCTTTCTTACAGGTTCAAGGATCAAATTATCTATTAAGCCTTTGAATATTATATTTTAAAAATATATAATAGTAGTGATTAAATCATTATTTTTCATTACAGTAGTTTTGTTGAATTGCGCTCAATCACGTTGTCCCTAAATGTTTGGCTTTTCTTAATTAGTTTTTCAACAAAAAAAGGATCATATGGTTTTCAAATATATATTTAATTTAAGACTAAATTATATTTCATAGTCAATATGTCTAGAATTATTTTTACATGCTCCCTGAAACCATTAGATTTCAAGTTCATCCACCGTATATAATTTGCATATAAATTTTATGCCACTCCTAAAAAAATTATAAACCGAACCAAAGTTAGCTCAACTTAGGGCCGGAACCAGAAATTTTATTATGGGGCCATGTGATAAACTAACAATATAAAGGATTTTAGGTCCCTTTGGTGCAAAGCACAAAGTTGAAGAAATTTAGGTCAAAATGTTATACAAACAAACCTGATTCCACACTCATTTGCATGCTAAAACATCAAAGTTCGTTCATTGTCTAGAGATATTTGGAAGCAAATTGGTAGCAATTACATAATGTGAGTGTGAAACTGCCATTTCTCAACAATCTGCTCTGCTTCCGCCTATAGTTAAACGAATTTGGCCATTGCTTCTTGTAACAGTCATAAATGCAACTCTGTGAGTTAATCTGAGAAAACTTCTGGTTATGGTGGAGCCGCTTGTTAATTACCTTACTTGGACGACAAGTTAGATCTATAGACTATGCAGTTGATTTTGAACCAATCTTATAATGAGCTAAATCCCAAAAATTAATGTATCAGAAATATAACAGACAAATAAATAAAGGGAAGGAATTATTGGCAGCCTTTTAT